TCGAAATCGTTAATCGCGTTCATCTTCTTAATTGGGACATAAATTGTGAATTGAAGGGTGTTTGGAGGTTCTAAATCTTTAATGGCCTGTATCTCTTTAATTATGGCCTAAATCGCAATTTGAGGGGTGTTCGGGGGTTTGAAATCTTTAATTGCTTGTGTTTCCCTATTTGGGGCCTGAATCATGATTTGAAAGGTGTTTGGGGACGAGATCGTTAAACGATTTTATCTCTTTAATTAAGGCCTAAATTTTGATTTGAGGAGTGTCTGGAGGTCCTAAATCTTTAATTGCGTTTATCTTTTAATTAAATTCTAAATTGCGATTTGAGGGGTGTTCAGGGGTTCGAAATCTTTAATCGTTTGTATCTCCTTATTTGGGGCCTGAATCGTGATTTGATAGATGTTTGAGGGACGAAATCATTAATCGATTTTATCTCTTTAATAAGGGCCTGAATCACGAGTTGAGGGGTGTTTGGAGGTTCAAACTCTTGAATCGCGTTCGCCTCTTTAATTAAGGCCTAAATCGCGATTTGATGAGTGTTTTGGGGTTTTAAATCTTTAATCGTGTTTATCTCTTTAATTAAGGCCTAAATCGCGATTTGAGAGGTGCCCTGAGTTAATTGCTTTTATCTTCTTAATTGGAGCCTAAATTTCGTTTTGAGGGTTTGGAGGTTCGAAATCTTTAATCGCTCGTATCTCCTTATTTGGGGCCTGAATCGTGATTTGAGGGGTGTTTGGGGGATGAAATCGTTAATCGATTTTATCTCCTTATATGGGGCCTAAATTGCGATTTGAGGGGTGTTTTGGGGACGAAATCGTTAATTGATTTTATCTTCTCAATTGGAGCCTAAATTGCGTTTTGAGGGTTTGGAGGTTCAAAACCTTTAATCGCTTCAATCTCGTATATTGGGGTCTAAATCGCGATTGAAGGGGTGATTGGGGGTCGAAATCGTTAATCGCGTTTATCTTCTTAATTGGGACATAAATTGCGAATTGAGGGGTGTTTGGAGGTTCTAAATCTTTAATCGCGTGTATCTCTTTAATTATGGCCTAAATCGCAATTTAAGGGGTGTTCAGGGGTTTGAAATCTTTAATCGCTTGTGTTTCCCTATTTGGGGCCTGAATCATGATTAGAAAGGTGTTTGGGGACGAGATCGTCAAACGATTTTATCTCTTTAATTAAGACCTAAATTTCGATTTGAGGAGTGTCTGGAGGTCCTAAATCTTTAATTGCGTTTATCTTTTAATTAAATTCTAAATTGTGATTTGATGGGTGTTCAGGGGTTCGAAATCTTTAATCGCTTGTATCTCCTTATTTGGGGCCTAAATCGTGATTTGGGTTGAGGGGACGAAATCGTTAATCGCTTTTATCTCTTTAATTAGGGCCTGAATCATGAGTTGAGGGGTGGTTGGAGCTTCAAACTCTTGAATCGCGTTTGTCTTTTTAATTATGGCCTAAATTGCGATTTGAGGGGTGTTTAGAGGTTCTAAATCTTCAATCGCTTGTATCTCTTAAATTAGGGCCTAAATCACGATTTGAGGGGTGTTTTTGGGGTTCTAAATCTTTAATCGTGTTTATCTCTTGAATTAAGACCTAAATCGCGATTTGAGAGGTGCTCAGGGGTTCGAAATCTTTAATCGCTTGTATCTCCTTATTTGGGGCCTGAATCGTGATTTGAAGGGTGTTTGGGGGATGAAATCGTTAATCGATTTTATATCTTTAATTAGGGTCTAAATCACGAGTTGAGGGGAGTTTTGAAGTTCAAACTGTTGAATAGCGTTTGTCTTTTTAATTATGGCCTAAATTGCGATTTGAGGGGTGTTAAGAGGTTCTAAATCTTTAATCGCTTGTATCTCTTTAATTAGGGTCTAAATCGTGATTTGGGTTGGGGGGACTTAATCATTAATCACTTTTATCTCTTTAATTAGGGCCTGAATCATGAGTTGAGGGGTGTTTGGAGGTTCAAACTCTTGAATCGCGTTTGTCTCTTTGATCAAGGCCTAAATCGCGATTTGAGGGGTATTTGGGAGTTCAAAATCATTAATCGCGTTCATCTCCTTATTTGGGGCCTAAATCGTGATTTAAGGGATGTTTGGGGGACGAAATCTTTAATCACTTTTATCTCTTTAATTAAGGCCTAAATCACGAGTTGAGGGGTTTTTGGAGGTTAAAACTGTTGAATCACGTTTGTCTCTTTAATTAAGGCCTAAATTGCGATTTGAGGGGTGTTTGGGGGTTCTAATTGAGGGGTTTTTCGTGGTTAAAACTTTTGAATCACATTTGTCTCTTTAATTAAGGCCTAAATTGCGATTTGAGGGGTGTTCAGGGGTTCGAAATCTTTAATCGTTTTAATCTCCTTATATGGGGTCGAAATTTTTATTTGAGTGGTATAATGGGGACGAAATCGTTAATCGATTTTATCTTTTTAATTAGGGCCTAAATCACGACTTGCAGGGTTTTTGGAGGTTCTTTAATCGTTAATCGCGATTATCTCTTGAATTAAGGCCTGAATTTCGGTTTGAGGGGTGTTTGGGGGTTTGAAATCTTTATTCGCTCTTATCTCCTTAAATGAGGCCTTAATCGCGATTTGAGGGGTGTTTGGGGGGGGGGGGACGAAATCGTTAATCGCGTTTATCTTCTTAATTGGAGCCTAAATTGGGTTTTTTTTTTGGGTTTTTGGATGTTCAACATCTTTAATCGCTTCTAGCTCGTATTTTGGGGTCTAAATCGCGATTTAAGGGGTGATTGGGGGTCGAAATCGTTAATCGCGTTTATCGTCTTAATTGGGACATAAATTGCAAATTTAGGGGTGTTCAGGGGTTCTAAATCTTTAATCGATTTTATCTCCTTATATGGGGCCTTAATCGCGATTTGAGGGGTGTTTAGGGGACGAAATCGTTGATCGATTTTATCTCTTTAATTAGGGCCTAAATCACGAGTTGCGGGATGTTTGGAGGTTCAAGCTCTTAAATCGTGTTTGTCCCTTTAATCAAGGCCTAAATTGCAATTTGAGGGGTGTTTGAAGGTTCAAAATCATTAATCGCGTTCATCTCCTTATTTAAGGCCTAATTTGTGATTTGAGGGGTGTTTGGGGGTGAAATCTTTAATCACTTTTATCTCTTTCATTAAGGCCTAAATAACGATTTTCGGGGTGCTTGGGGGTTCCAAATCTTTAATCGCGTTTATCTCTTTACTTAAGGCCTACATCGCGATTTGAGGGGTGTTTTTGGGTTCAAAATATTTAATCGCGTTAATCTCTTTAATTAAGGCCTTAATCGCGATTTGAGAGGTATTCAGGTGTTCGAAATCTTTAATCGTTTGTATCTCCTTATTTGGGGTCTAAATCGTGATTTGAGGGGTGTTTGGGGTATGAAATCGTTTTTCGATTTTATCTCTTTAATTAGGGCCTAAATCACGAGTTGAGGAGTGTTTGGAGGTTCAAACTATTGAATCGTGTTCGCCTCTTTAATTAAGGCCTAAATTGCGATTTGAGGGGTGTTTAGGGGTTCGAAATCTTTAACAGCTTAAAACTTCTTACTTGAGACCTAAATCACGATTTGAGGGGTGTTCAGGGGTTCAAAATCTCGATTCGCTTTTATCTCCATAACGATTGGCAATTGAAGGGGTGTTTGGGGGTCAAAACAGTTAATCGCGTTTAATGTCTTAATTAGGGCCTAAATTGTGTTTTTACATAGTGTTGATGTAATATACGCATATACCTATTTTTAAGTGGTAAACTTGGACGAGCGATTAATTTTAAGCTTATGAAATATAAGGAGGCCATTTAGTAGATCATTCACATGAGTTCCTTTCCGGATATTTGTTTATATTTAATTTAATCTTTACCAAACAACGTCTCAAAAAATTAATTGAGGAGCTCGGCTAGCTTGATGGCTGCCACTTTTGCTTACTGAATAGAAAATCGTTCCGGAAATCCATATCAAATCCTTCTCAAGAGCAGTTGTTGTCGCCGTCTGTGAGGTCGCTGATAGAACCTAAATCTAGTAACAGCAAGTTGAACGAGATTCCGATTCGAAATAACGTTTTCTAGTTATGACTTTTTATGATTTGAAGTTTTTTTGCGAGATTCAAAATGGCCAAATTTTAGCTCAAATATGAAGGGTTGACCAAAGTAAACAATTATGCAAAGTTTCATGCAAATCAGAGCAGGTCGCATCATATCGTTTCGTCTTTTAGCGTGGAACTGCTCAGTGTTAAAAAGTCTGTTGAAGCTAAAGATAAATTCCTGAGCTTCTTGGATGTTCCTCTTCTTCGCTTAATGTCTCTAAGGTTTGCAAATTTTCATCAATGTTTGATGAACTTCTACAAAGTTCTCTGTTAAACTAAGTCTAGTTAGACAATACTACAAATTCACAGCCAGTAGTTAACTATACAACTTGCTGAAGTTAGTTCTACAAAATTCTCTGAAGTTCTTCTTGTTCTGGTCATAAAATTTGCTGCACTCTAGAAAATTTCCAGAAAGTTCCACGGTGTTTCTTGAAATTCTATGAAGTTCCTTGAAATCCTACAACGTTCCCTTTTACTTTTAAGAATTTGTTCGAGCTTCTGCGAATTTCTTTGAAATCAAATGATGTTATCCTAACGACAAGGTTCACTAAATCCACGCATGACCACCCAAACACAAATCTTGAGTATGACTCTAGGATTTACTGAACATGACTTCAAAGTCCATTGAGTTTTCTTTTAGATCGCACTAGGTGATGTTTGGACTTACCTTGTTATTGAAGTCAATTGAACTTGGTGTGGGGGTCCTGCAGACTAGACCAGATGGATTTACCTTTAGGATCTTTGAACTCACTCGAGAAATCATTTGGCCTGGGGTTGAAAAGTTTTCAAAATACTAAGAAATATTTCCGAAAGATTCCCCCAGTTTCAAAAATTCTATATTCATTACTAATTAAGCTTAAAATCTTACCATTCCACGATCAATCACTACATGCAACCACTAACCCCCATCGGAACTTCCTTTCCCCCCACAGTTGCCGGTAAGAAGGGCCGTGTCATGGAGCGCCGCATCCTGAAGGACTTCCAGATCGGCTTCGTCGAGGGTATCCTCAACGAGACGTTCAACAATGCCAGCGAAAAGCCGGCGGATGTGTTCAGCACCATCGCCAAAGCGATCGGCAGCCGTACCAGCGCCAAGAAGAAGTATCTCTTTCGATGGCAATTGTTCGATCTCTGGAATGATTTTTTTCTATTTACAGGAGGCCCGAGGACTGGAACGCCCTGGTCCGCAAGAACACATCGGTTCGCGATCCTATCGGAAACTCCTCGGAAGCCATCATGCGTCGAAGTCAGATGAGCTTGAGAAAACAGATCATCGAAGGCTGCGAGCAGGGATTGGACATGAACACCGACAATCTGGTGGAGTTCAATCCGAAGCTGTCGGAGGTGACGCCGGTGACTCGGGTGGCCTACGTCAAGTTTATGACGACCAAGTTGAAAAAGGACTTGGGCAAGGACAAGGACCAGGAAAAAGACGAGACCAGCTTCGAGAACGAGCGCCGGGGATCGTCTAAACGGGGCTCACTGAAGAAGCTGGTGGAAATGAAGGACAAGATCAATGTGAGTATGGAAAGGGTATTTTTTGGGTGAATTCTGGGGAAAATCCCAAGATTTCTTCACAACTTAAAAACCTTTCTCTTTCCAGAGCATCGATACCGATGCCAAAGCGGAGAAGAAGTCCCCCGTGAAGGAAACAGAAATTCCTCTCAAAGAATCTGCGCCAGCTGCTCCAGCACCGGTTGCGGATGAACCACCCGAAATCATCACCAGTACGGCCTTCAAGGAGGAAAAGGACGACATCAGAATCGACCTGAGCCGGGTCCGCGTACGTTCGCCAATCATGGAAGATCCCGATGAAGTCCTGAGCGAAAATGGCGAACGCTGTCCGACGCCCATCCGTACCAACAGTATTCCCGAACGTCCGGAAACCCCCATTCCAAGCAATAGCCCACCGCTGGATAAGAAAACTGACTGCGGCAAGCCCAGCAGTGCCGAGGTCAGCAAAGCCGGTTCCATAATAAGGGGCAAGGAAGCTAGTCCTCCCAAATCAGAGTCGAGTGTTGGCAAGGACACCCTTTCGCCATCCAATTCGGCCAAGTCCGACACGCCAAGGCCCCGTTCCCGTTCACCAACTCCCGCCCGGCTTGAACCGCCGGCACCAAGCTCTCCAGTTCGCTCATCGTCCCCGGCCTTTTCGGACAAAGGCAAATCGAAAATCACCGGCAGAACGTTGGGTGGTTGGATGTAACACGTTGACCCCTACCACCTCAAATTCAGGCTTTGTCTTGGTCGCTTTAATCCCCAGTGAATTGGATGGAAAATTCGGTAACTTTTCTCACGGTTTGTCAGCACGGCTCTCGTTCGTTCAAGGTAGGTATTTTGGTAATTTAAGCGTTCATTATTTTAGTAGGATCCATTATGGCAAATAAAGCGAACTCAGTTTGATTTCAATGTAATAATACTGCATCGCCGTTTCTTTGATGTTCAGCTCAATTACCCCCGGAAACGGAAAAAAAGATATGATGACTGGCCTGAACTGGAAAATGATTCATAAAAAATTCCTCGTTCAGTTAATTTCCCTCCCACATCGCCTTACTACGTAGCATTAAAGTTCACTTAGCGGGACGATTTGTCCTATGTAGAGACCTGTACGTGCCACCATAGATTTTGATGTTTGCCGGATTTAATCCCGGAATAAGCCAAAGAAGCGTATAAACTTCGTCGATTTATTTGAGTATACACTATTCCCCCCTCACCCATCGATGATGATGATGATAGTGATGATGATGATGCTCAGAGTCATCACGATGCAGGACGACGACGTGGGAGTGTCACGATGCGATCGGAAGGTGCAAACCAATATTAATCGTAAGGCATTTGTTTTAATGAAATTCTCCATCCTATGATGGGGATTGTCTTGGGCTAAAAAAAGATTCAAATTTGAAAAGGGAACATCATCCGAGTTTATTTTTATATGGATTCTATGGAAAGTTGCCATGCAAATCGTTGCTGAGCCAAACTGCAGCAGCAAAAGAGGCAGTAAGCCCGGCAGGGTTCCGTCCACCCCGGAGATCTCGGCGTAATCGATTGTCGTATCGACAGCTGGAAAGCACTGAAAGAAATCGTGGTCAATGTTTCGCTTTGATTGAATGAAACAACTCGAATAACATGTGCTAGGTTAAGGTAAAGGAAATGAAAATGAAATAGCATGTCGATCGAAATATCAGCGTTCAACATCTAAAGGCGCAAATATACGGTTCAAGTCAGTTGATTAAACTCACCCCCAAACTGGTAGTCGGTGGTTAATTGAATTGGCATCGAATAGGGCAAGTCCGACATCGATCAGCTCCTTAAGCTGGGTTTAGACAGGACAAGTCAATTGATCAAGTCAGTTGAATTCAACTGACTTGAACGTGAATTGAACGTGTAAACCTTGATCAACTCACTTGAATTGAAAAAAGTTGAACCAGGCTCAACTTTTCAAGTCAATTGAATTCAACTGAGTTGATCATACGACTTGCATAGTCTAAACCGAGCTTTAGGGTGTGTCTAGACGTTCGTTTCGTAGTTCAAGTGAGTTGAACGCCGAATTGAATCATCTAAACAGGGCTTAAGAGTTCGTTCAAAAATGATAGTGGATTTGTATATTGAAAAATTCAACTGACTGTTATTGTCTAAATGAGTAAAGCTTAAACTAAATAGTTACGGTCAACGGAACGGAAAAGGCCAAGTAACCGATGACGAAACACGTCAGCTGAAGTAGAACATATAAAATAAGTTGTTGAATTGCCGGCTGATTGCTCGAATTGGCTCGTGTTGTGTATAATTTCGGCGCCGTGGTTCCAAAACCAGAAAGTCGCGTGGACGAAGAGGCCTCTCAGGGACATACATATTTCGCTGAACCAGCAGTGTTGGACAGTCAATGTCACCCGTAAGCAGTTTTCCAGCAAAAATAGCTTAAGCGACCATCCGTCTCACCCCTAATGGTTCGATTCCCAGGAGACGGCAACGCTCCTCGTACGGTGGAAAGCTTGTTGGGTCACGCCAGTTGAGGAAACGAAGAGCATATCTCACAAACTTGCGTTGAACGCAACTAAACTTGACTCCAATAAGGATCGCACAAGCGAGCAGTAGAGTGACCTGAGGCATAGCGGGTCTCGGAACTCGCCGGCAATTTTGAAAATAAAGCCCAATTGTCGATTAGTTCTGGAGATGATGTCATTGTAGTGGATTCTGAAAGTGAGTCTACAGTCCAAGTTAATGCCGAGATTCTTTATGTGAACTACACGAGCAAGACAGCGTCCGTAGAGAACATAGTCAAACATGATTGGTTCGATTTTTCGGTGATAGGAAATGCTTAGACTCAGCAAAAATACCTTACATATGTATTCTGGAGATCCCAACAGTCCAAGAGACTTTTAATAATTTTGTAGATTTTCGTACCGTCTGCAACGCGGCATCCTGATGGAATCAGAAAGGCGACGTCGTTTAAAAAGATCGAAAACAGTAGTGGTCCTAGGTTGCCTTGCGGAACTCCCGAGTTGTTTGAGAAAACATCCGATTCCGACACGCCAATCTAAACCCGTACATAGCGATTCACCAAGTAAGATCTGAACCAATCCACAGCCTTTGACGAGACGCTAAATATCTCCAGCTTGGCAAGCAAGATATTATGGTCCACCGTGTGAAATGCAGCTTTTAGATCCATATACGCAACATCGACTTGCCATCCTGAATCCATGTATCGCAAACAGTTAGGAGTAAACTGCACCAGGTTCGTGGACACGGAGCGCTTCGGGTAATAGCCGTGTTGTTCTGTATCGATGTACCGTATGTGTGATAATGTTTGCACCATTAAACAATGTCAAAATTTAAAAAAAATTCAAAAATTTCGTTTTCGAGTTTTTTTTTTATTTATTCAAAGGGGGAATGTTTTTCAGAGGCTTAAACTATGCTAATCATTGATTGAGTTTCCACTTGCTGCAATTACGGCCTCAACACGCTTCCGGAATGCACGGCAGGTTCTAATAATGTAGTCTGGATCCATTTCTCTCCAGGTACGGGTCAACGCTTGTCTGAGGCTTGCTGTACTCGGGTGGCGTTTAGAACAGGCCTTGGCCTTCATGACGCGCCATATTGAGTGGATTAAGATCGGGGCTGGATGGCGGCCACATATCCTTTGCCCAGAACGGAATTTGTTCCTGCAACCACTTCTGAGTGCGGTTCGAGGTGTGGCACGGAGCCCCATCTTGTTGAAATACAACATTTGGCTTCGGACCGTACTGTTCTTTGATCCACGGAAGAACAGACTTACTTAAACTCCCGATGTAGACCTCCGTGTTGACCTTGTCGCCTTCTGGAACGAACACCGTGTTCATTTTTTGCCATCGGAAGCCACCAATCCAAACACTATAACGCTAACAGGATGCTTGGTCAGATACACGTTCTTGTGCTTGTCGGCTACGTCTTTTACCGGAAGAGAACTAATATACCGGTCGGTTCTGGAATTTGATACGGGATCGACGGTAAACATGTTCTCGTCGGTGAACAGGATTACCTGATTTTTTCACTTAAGGAAGTTCAAGATTTTCTTGCATCGTTCGACTCGTAGCTCCCGGATGCGGTTGGTAATCATGTGAGTTCTTTTTCCCGTGCCCTCGACTTCGCCCCGCAATCTTCCTTTATGATCTTCCGTGCCGTAAAGTCACTGATCCCGTGTTCCTTTGCCATTTTCCTTATTGAACGCACTGGATTCACCCGAATCTTCCTTTTGATAGCAGTGATAACCCTCGGAACTCGAGCTGACCTCGGACGACCTGTGGCCACCTTCGCGGATAGTTGTCCTTTCTTTTCTCGGTCTAAAACCCACCGGGACACTCCCACGGCGATTGAAATGTCTTTTTGCGACATTTCCGCGTGGGACAAATCATGAATACGCAACGTCATGGTGCAACTGTCAAACTAATAGCGAATTCGTTTATTATTCAGTTTCAACCTGGATCGGGTATCAGGATTGGGTCTGCTTGTTTTCTGACAAACGTCAGTTTGTTCGTTTGTTTTTAAAACCTAGCTCAGGTTGAGGTTCGCACTGACAAAAAGCTCGGTTTCGCATACGGTATTTTTTGCAACACGCGAACAGAGCATCATTTATGATAATCTCGAACAGTTTTGAGCAGGCACACAGGGAGGTGATTCCACGATCATTTGCGACATTCCGTTTATCTCCTTTTTTGTAGACTGGGAACAGATAAGAAAGTTTCCATCGGCAGGGGAACTCACATTGCTGTGCCGAGGGATTGAACAGCCTCGCAAGTGCAAGGCAGAGATTGGCTACACAACGTTTTAGAACTGATGACGGAATGCCGTCAGGTCCGGCGGCGAACGAGAGCTTCAGTCATGTCTTCTGAAATGCGCGAGTTAGCACCGAAGCCACCCGGCTGGAATGCTGATGCTGAACATGCACTTTGGAACTTGGCAACGACGGCACACCGGACGGGCAGCTACGAACATGCAAGGCAAGGCAAATTGATCGACGATGGCAACGGACGGAATTTGGACGATGGCACCAGCGGAGGAAATGCAGAGTAGGCAATATGAACTGTAGTTAGGTTTAATTGAAAAAATAAAGTTCAGTTCGGTTTTAGCTAGCGAGTAGTTAAAAAGTTATTTTTTTAAAAGTTTATTACATCCGTATAAACTTAACTCGCGGAATATCGAAACTAAACACATCACGTGGCATCCCAACAGTAGCATCCAGCACTTGTGTCGGCGAAGCGGAGAAATCGTGGAACACTTGCTTGAAATGACGAGTAAACAAGCCGCCTTTTTCTCTTTCGCTATTAGCCGAGTCATTCCCGAGAAACATGGAACAAGGCAACCCGAATTCTTTCCATTTGGAGTTGACAAACGACCAAGAACTTTTCGGATTCGTACGTTTCAAGTGTCGATTATTAGGATCTGGAGTTTATGCAACTCATATATGTTTTCTTGAAGAATATTAACCATAGATTGTAAGTTTGATTAACCTTGTGTTTAGTTTGTGTTTTGTATATGTGTGTGTATTTTTTTTTTGTAGATTTGTTTCTGTAATAATTGTATAATTACAGAGTTGATATAACGTCGATAGGATTAAGTATATGTTTTAGAAATAGTAACATTTTTGAATCATAAATCTTATTCCTAATTTCCTTTTCCCTCTCCCGATCCAAACAATTGTCATCCACTAACCTCGAGAAGACCGCGAGTAATCGGTTCCAATCCTTTAATTTTAGATTTAAGACATTTATAATGTATAAAGAAAATGATAACTTGGCTCTGTAAAGTTTATTCGATTGAGCCTGTACAAATAAAGTAATTAACAAAAAAAAAAAAAGTGTCGATTATAGAGAAAACGATTGTAATTTCGATAACTACGACTCACCAAATTGAACAGTCGTTTGTAGTACGGCGAGCGAGAGATAC